AAAGAACAGCAAGGGCTAATTACTCTTGTGATTAATGTTTCTGTGTGCAGTCTGAAGTAATTTTGGAATACGAGTGTCTTTGCTTCAAAACACATTGGTGAAGGCACTGTTTCTCATCTGTTTGGCTTATTGCTATATAGCTTTTGTTTTATATATTGCCCGACTTCTGTCCCACAATCTTGAATTCCTGTCCAGCTCCTTGGTTGTTTTTATTTTACCTGTGCAGTGGTAAGTTACAGGTAAATGCCTGTTCTGTGCTTGCTTGTCAGTGCTCATTTCAGCTTGAGAAATGCAACAAGACTATCAAATCAGCAACACAGCTTGTCTCCGGGGCAAATGACAGCAGGTTACACCAATGAGAAGACAATGAATCATAAATAAAATATGTACACCAAAGTTTAATTTTATTAAGCTCATAGATACAGCTTTGTACTAATACCCTTTGTTCTCAGTTGTAGTTGAGGTGTTAACTTAATTCAAAGTTCAGTCTGATGATCAAGCATTTATTGTGTTTTGAAAGATGCCAAAGGAGTACCTTTTAATGAAGGGAAACCACATTAAACACACAGCCATTAAGCTTGTGGTTTGAAAAACCTTCATTGCCAGTTCTTTTCTTAGACTTGGTTCAAAAGCAAATTCCAGTCTTAACATAATATCAAATATACTGCACATAAACTGCCGTAATAAATACTTTGGAACTGTACTGAAATTTCCGACGTTTGCGAGAATTGTAATTAAAAGTAGATATTGCAGCATAATGAGTCTTGAACCTGTTTTCTTGGGGGTTAAAAGGCACATGATTTCAATTATGTTTTTCTGGACTCGATTTAAACATTAGAAATACACTGAATAATTTAGTTTTAGAGTGGGTCTAAAGAAGCTCTTTGCAAGTGTGTTCTCTGAAAGTGTAAAATGATGTCCAAAAATATCATTTATAATTAAAGCAAATATTGTGACTTCCTTGGTCCTAGCACTGGGATTGTGAAAAAATAAAAGATTATAGAGTTATTTAAATGTGTTTTTCAACCACAGTTTTGTACATCCGTGTTTTCTTTAGCTCATGATGCAGAGGAGAAGGTGTAGTCATTTAAATGTTTGTGTAGTTCTTTTGTGGTAGATGGAATTGATGTGCATATTGTTTCTCTTCTTTTTACTTGCATCAGGTTGAATATGTTTTTGTCCCCTTTAACCCCAGAAATAGTGTATAGGCTGCATTATTTTATTTTTTTTAATACCAAGTGTACTTGTGTTTAATTTAGAAATACCTTGGTGAAGCAGAGTGTGATGTCTCTTTGGTTGGAATTCAGGGTAGAAGCGTTAGGGTACAGAAACGAAGTCCTTTTATAAAATGGCTCAGGCTTTTTGGTAAAGTTTATGCAGGTGAAATAAGTCTTTCCTTACGTATCCTATTTTGCAGGAATCTGTCCTGTTGTGTTATTGAGATTTTTGCCTGCCTGCCTCAGTGAGTTGCTGTCCAAACTTGCTGGTTCTGTTGGAAAGCACTTTGTGGTCGTTTGTTTGTCTGCCGTCTGTTTGTGTGTTGTACTTAACTAATGTTATATAACCAATATGTCTATAATTTAGCTGTAAAAACAGTTTTCCTAAGTAATTTAACTGATTCCTCATGAGATGAGTGACATTGTGTCCACAGAATTCCCCAGGCAGTGAAGTTAATTGTTTCAACTCCCTGGCATATTCATGGTTTAAGGAACACAAATGGTGGCAGAATGTTTTGTGCAGTAGTGCTTAAAAACATTTGAATAACTGAGCCTGTAATAGCCTGTAATAACTGTGGATTAATAATTAATAATGGAGCTGCATCTTTTCTTCTGTGCTTTGACTATATAGAGAGTGACATGATTGAATGTCATACAGGGTTTTGTTTAAGCACAGTAATGAACATTTGCTTTGATGAAATGGACATGCTATACAGTATGTTACTTAAAGTAATTCTTTAAGCAGTTCTTTATTTTTTGCAATTTTTTCATTTCTTCTCCTGAAGATGAAGTTCTCTTCTAGCAGTCTATTACATGTCAATGCAACACCTTTATTATAAACCACATTTGCTCAAGAAATTCGATAGCTGAACGTGGTTTGACTGATATTTGTGTGGATTGTCTTCTGTTACAATTAATTGTTATTTGGCAATAAAATCAGATTGACACCTTAAACCCCTTTTATTGTCTGATTCTAATTGTTTTGTGTATAATTTGGCTTTATTACGGTGATGCTGTCATTCAAATACTGGTTAAAGAAAGCAGATACCAATGTTTCCTAGGCACTCATTTTAACCAGAGCCTGCTATTCTATTTCAGTCATCACTGTCATCTCAGTCAGCAGATTCTAACATTTAGCAATGTTGGCCACCATCAAAATGCACCCTTGATAAGTAGATATGCCTGACAAGCCCTTTTCTAGTGCAGCTTTTTATGAGAGCTCTGTATTGCAGGGTAGAGTTCTGTAACAAGAATGCGAGTAATGTTTTGCCCATATCTAGATTTCAGTGTGTTGGGCTCCATGGTATGGTTTCTGTATTAACAACTTGGTTAAAAATGATTTCTTGTGTTGGCGCAGAATCTGTTCCGTAAGATGAGCTTAATTTGAAAGGATCACTGTCCACATTATTTTGGTTTCTTTTAAGTGTTAAAATGTTGATATGTTCTAAGAAAGAGACCAGACCTTTTTGTAGATAATGTCAAAGCTGTCTGTAAGAAGGCTGGGGGGATAGATGGAAGATATTAACACCATTATCTTCAACCTTGTGGGTCCTTTGCTTGCAACATCAGCCTGTAAATCTTACACAAGGCTGTGGAATCGTGAAGAACAATACAGTGGAATGTGCCCCAGGGTAGGTATCCGAGTGATGGACAGTTGTTTTCTTTCCCCTTGAGTAATCCATGGTTTGTGGGTTTACAGAGTGGAACACTCAGACAGCGGGGACAAAGGCAACAAAAGGTCTTCATGGGGTCCTGCCTGACAACCACATTCCTCACACAGCCCCTCCGCCTTTGTGCAGAAAAAGGGAATTCTTCTCCCCTGCTTTGCATGGAGAGATCACCAAAATATCATCGGCTGCACGGCTAAAGATGCAATTGGCGGGTCAGCTTCATTTGCAGTTGTGAAAACCTCAGAGCGTAAGAAACGGAAGCTCTTACTTCAGTGGGGTGATAACTGCGCTTGGCTAATTTTCCAGGATTCACCTGCATTCAGAAGTTGAATGTCAGCTGCCTGTTTCTCCAGGTGTTGGAGGAAGACATTGTGCTGTGGATGACATGCAGGCTCATCACAAAATGACCTCTGCTCCCCATCATATAAATGTTTGTCCCTTTAATACTTTAAAACCTGGAGTGTAGCAATGTGATGTAAACATTTTTTTTTTGTTCATATCACCAGGTGCCCAAGATATTTTAAAACCAGATTGAGAGCTCTGATGACACATTATTATTATTGGTTATGTTTAAGATTGTTTAGAACTACATTACTACTAGGTTTTATTAAATTTCTTTGAAATGGAACCTGTAATCTTCTAAATGTTTTTTGGCGTTTTCCATGCTTAACCAGACCTTTTCCATTTCTTAGCACCTGAATATTACGGACACATTTTAAAAGGGACTAATTTGTGAAGAACAAAACCTGGGTCTAAAGCCTCCAGAATTTGTTTTGCTTTTTTTAAAAAAAAATCGAAACACTCCCACACCCTTCCAAAAACCGAAAAATGAGTTGCACAGCTCAGAACCGTATCCAGTGACACGGCGCTAATTATAGAAAGTGTGCTGAATTGTTTGAGTGAAAGGGATGGGTTGCTGGGGCATGTTCAGTCTTGCAGGAGCTGTTGTTGTTCTGCACTGCATACCTGACCTTGGCATTGTAGCAGAGCACAGAGGGGAGCAGTGTTCAGACCCAGCATGCTGTGCAAACAAAACCCTTCCCTTCCTCTGTGGCAGTAAGTGGGGGTGGAGGGGGCGTGTCCAGATGTGCACAGCTGTGAACTTTGCCTTGTGGGCACAGGATGACACTTTCGGCGGGCCAGACCTGCGCAATGATTTCCTGTTTGCTCTGGCGGCGGAGCTTAGAATTTAGCCCTTCTATAGAGAAAGTGTCTGCAAACAGCCCGTCTTGACTCGTGTACAGAAATACTCCACAAGATTGATCGATCTTGGTTGTGTTTTTTTTTCCCCCAGAGATAGAAATCAGACTTCCTTTTTACAGCGCTTTGAAATGTTCTGGGTTGCTGGCTCTTGTCCAATGTGCTGATGATGCTGAAAATTACATTACACTTGAACTCTGCATATACTGGCTGCAAATAAGGTTAAAGGGACCTGCAACGCTATTTTTCATATTTTGGGGTTAGAAGGTATTGGCATTGATGAGTGCATTTCAAACCGCAGTGAAAGTAAAAGGTACACGGTAACGTGTAAAACCTACAATTAACATCACAAAATAGACAAAATTTCCAGGTCTGCGTGGCATCCAGTGAACTGTTGTGGCCCTCTTACATTGTAAACAAGCTGGCTTGTGAATACATCTCTGTCAATCCAATAGAAATATTGCTTTCAGTGGGAGCAAATCAGGATACATCCTGGGCAGGATACCACTCCATCGCAGGGCACACACAAACACAGATGTACACAGTCGCACTGTAAGGCCAATCTTCCCAGGAGCTAGTTGACCTACCAGTATGTGTTTGGACTGTGGGAGGAAATTGGAGAACCCAGAGGAAAGCCACGCGAACAGGGGAGAAATACAAACTCCACGCAGAAAGCACCCCAGAAATTGAACACAGGGCCCCGGCACTGCGAGACAGCAAAAGTTACCACTGCACTCTTCTTTATTCATGTGTTGTGTAAGTTGTTTACCTCTCTACAGTGTGTTCATCCACTTTCTCTCAGGCTGTTCCGGTCACAATGCAAAAGCAGCGTGTTCTTGTTTTGACAGCGGAGGGCACACGGGGGTTCCCCAACTGGCGTTTGCTTACAGTGTGCCCCTGTGTTTTGTTCCAGGAGACCCTTCAGCAGTTGATAGTCATGAATTTGCCCAATGTGCTGATGATTGGGAAGGACCCTTTGACAGGTAAGAATATTGCTTTTGTGGTTCACGCACAGGGCTTTTGTAGAATAACACTTCGCGTGTAAGAGAAGTGAGAGAGTAATGACTAACAAAACTCCATGATTCAGTATCTAGTTTCTAGCTGGGTAATTGAAACATAATGGCACACTATAAATAAGTAAATTGTGGGGAGTTTGTAATAAGTATGCAAGTCCTGATGCTCTGTATATATAGTTGGAAGCTTGGGAAATACACAGTATGGGTGTTACAGATGGGTATTGAGCTTGATTTATGAAGCTCATATTTATGACATAAACCCAGGAGTTATGCAACCCTGGAGCTCAGGCTGTGTTTTTTTTTTTGTTCACACTTGGGAACCGCTTGCAAAGGCATTTACTTTTTTTTTTCAGTGCAGATATTTTTATAATTGTAATGATTTTTGTATTTGTCGTTGCGTTTGTGGGCGAGTTAAAGTGTCTTACATAATCCTGACACCAGGGAAGAATTCATTTGGAATCCCAAAGCCGTTGTAGTCTGTGAAAGCTGAGATTCAAACACTTTTTAAAACTGATATTTTTTAGAATAATTCTTTGCATATTGTAATTATAAAGTAAACAATGTAACTGTCCTCATCAGTGTTCTGAAGTCCAATTCTGTCCTCTATATGTAATAGTTTTAACCTTTTTAGGATTGTTAGCATGACCGCCTTCTAGTCTGAGGTAAGCCTGTTCGGTACTGGGATGGGAGACCTCTGTGGAAGATCAGGTTGCTTCTGTAAGTGGTATTTGTGGATTTTCAGTTGTAATGCCCTAGTATGGTGACCGGGGACACTGTGCTGTAGGAGGTGCCACCTTTAACCAATGTCCTGACTACTTGGGCATTTCAGATCCCATGGCAGCGATTGTAAGGGTTATCAGGTTCATTTCCACCCTGGGTTACCACAGTCTGACCTCCCTCTGTTCTCTAATTCTTCAAACTGTACCTCTTCTGCTAAGTATTGGGGCTATTGCACTTCAGGGCTGGGGAAGAGACCCCTGTCCTGTGTGTAAAGTCAGCTGAGATCTTATTATACAAAACATGAAGAATTATTATTACTATTTGCATTCATTGAGAGTTTAGATTTGTGATGAAGATGAAGTGAGAAACAGTAGCTTTAGAACAGTTAAGACTCAAGCTGATATAACACTCAAGTGGGTCATTTGGCTGATGCCACCCTGTGAAAGGTTCCCTCAGAGTCGGTTTAGTATTTCAGAGGGAGCCTGTATATTCTAGCCAGGCTCTCACACCTCCCTGACTCTGTTCTTTAGATCTGGCATGCACAGAGGGTGACACCCGAGAGGCCATTTGTTGTATCTCTCTCACCCAGCAGATATGGGCCCCTGCTGGGTCTGGCCTGCACCTTCCTGACTGAAGACTCCCAGGGGTGTGCGTCTCTCTAGCCCAGTGTTAGGAGTGGTGTCTAATTTACATAACTGTATTAGCTGCAGGGGGAAAATTCTGTGCTTGTACTCTGTCCAACTCTCCGGCTTCTAGTTTTAGACTTGAAAAAGCTCATGGTGCAGTAATCCTCCACTGTGAGGATATTTTGTGCTATCATACTGTTGTGTAGTGTAATGATGTTTCAGAGTACAATTCAATTCAAGATACAGTATTTTATACATCCCCAATCCCCGGCAAGGGGTGCAACATACAACATGTAACAATAAAGAACAACATTGCTAAGAAAAAAAGGTATGTACATAAATAAAACCAGCAAAGGCACCATAAATGTGATTGAAAGTAGCAGTGTGTAGTATTTAAGAAGGTATTAAAGTACATGCACATTTAGGGGGGCGGCTCTGTCCAATGAATATCATATTGATAAGACTTCTTTGCAGTTATTATTTGCCAACCTGATGGCCTCTGGAACAAACCTAAATTTCCTTTTCTTTGTCGTGCTGTGGACAGCACAAATGTCTGCCTGAAGGCAAAAGTTCAAAAGGCTGATGAGGAATATGAGATGGGCCTTCAATGGTGCCACAAATTTCGATTCGTTTAGTGAGTAGACTCGGCTCAGCTGTAGGGGTGAGAGCACAGTTGGCCGGCATTGCTTGTGACTGTGTGGCCCGACCCTGTGATGTAAGCGAGCGCCGGCTCTCTGGCCCCGAGTACAAAATGCTGACAAGGACGCAGCCTTGAGAAATCTGGTGGGAAGGATACACGTGCTGCTTTTTAATGTGTTTAGGAAGTGGCAAAGCAGCAGAATACTTCCAGCCCTTCTGTTACAGACTTGCTGATTTGTGCCTAATTGAAATTGCATTCCTAAGTTCAAAAGTATGTTGAAGGGGTCTAATTATGGTTTGCAGATTTATGCCTTTGATGAAGGTTCTTGATTTTTTTTTTGCATGTCTGTTGGTCTTAACGTTTAGCCTCTCAACAGTGAATTAACACCTGTTTCTCCGGAGAAGTGCAAACATCTGTGTACCAGAGCTGTGCATTTCAATGACTCCTATGATCAATTACCTTGCCCGTTTATTTTTTCATTCGTTTATTCAGGATGCTTCTGGAAAAATCGTGCACTGTTCCTGTCTCGTGCAGGAAGTAGTGCTTGTGATTTTCCATGGATCTGGGGATGTTTTTGTTTGAATAGCCTTCTATATTTAATTGCTTATTTCGATTCATAAACTTTCCGATTTGGTTGCACAAACTAGCACAGCTCCACGTCGTGTGAATCTGCAGTTTTTCCAAATGTCCATTAGTAATTAAAAACTCAGTAATCTGATCATCTTGTCCTAGAAATTCTCTGGATGTGTCTTGCCTTTTTTTTTTTTTTTTCAAGGTCAGGGTTACTCTTACACTGGTTACATCTGGTGTAATAAAAGAGAACCTATCACAGTAGACATATTACACTATTATTTTTGAAGGAGCATAACCACTCATATTTACTCTGGAGCTGAATTAATGTTAAAAGAAAAAAAACCTGAATGAAATGGAGGTCTTTAAACCCATTACAGCTTTTTTCCCCCACAGTTGTCTTTTCAAATAGAATTGCTGATTATTTTTTTTGTTATATACTCACCTGATGTGGAATTCCCAGTTGTGTGCTTGTCCACATGTCAGCTCACAGTTCTGAATCCTGTCACCACACATAGGGAGAGTGAGGAAATGCAGATTGTGAAATCTCCAAGTATTTGAAAATATCAATCCAATCACATTTTATTAGGTAGTGATTAAAAATTAGCTGATTAGAATTAAGATAGTCGGATTTGTTGTGATTGTGAAAACCATCTTTAAATCATGCTTTAAGACATGTCTAAATTTTTAAACTTTAAAATATGTTTCAGTACCCATATTGGTATAGTGTTTGAATTCAGTGGCATGCCATTGTTTTGTATGCCAGCAGGTTACTTTTCATCTTTGTATGAGTCAGGGCTAAAAATATGCTAAGCTCAATGAATTAGCCTGTTGTGCGTCATCATGATATCTGTTTACGATCCAAGATGAGGAAAAACAAGTCTAATGAATACTTGCCTCCAACAAAATACAAGTAAAGGTGTAAACTGTAAACCATATTAAATTAACTTAGCCATTATGTCTGAAAACATTTGTGATCATACCACATAGTGAATTAACAACAGATGTTGGAACTGTTTTTGTTGAACATCATAAAAAGGCATTGTTCTAAATTTCTCTAAATAAGAGTTTCCAGGACTCAAGACCTCAAATGTTTTTTAAAATTTATCCTTTTGATAGGAGGCCTCATCATTGTTTTTTTTATTGATTATTGTTTACAGTCCTTTCTTCCACAGGGGATGACGTCTAAACAAAAAAAATGAAGAGAAATTAAACACTTACTTTCCAGGTTTATCTGGTCACCCCAAGATCTGAACTACATTTAGAACATTGTACTTTCAGATTTGTTTGTGGAAAATGCCTTCCCCTGGTCATATTAAATTCACTACTGTGGTGTTTCCTTTTTTCCTGAATGCCCAAATTTTGAGATCACAAACATGCTGCACATGAAAGAACATTAAGCCGTTTATATATATTTTTTTCTTCTTTTCACACGAGAGCGACTTGGCCTTTCTTAACTTACAGATACGCTATATCCTTGGTTTCCTCTCTGTATTTAGCATGTCTTCTCTTTCCTCCCACAGGTAAAAGCATGGAAGAGATGAAGAGGCTGCTTTTGCTTATGCTGGGCTGTGCTGTACAGGTAACAGGCCTCACTGAGATATGACATGTACAGGGAACCATGCAGATCTTGAGATGAGTGAACACTCATTTCGCTGAATGTATTCTCTTAACTTTGGAAACCCCAACAGCTTATTGTATCAGGATAAGTTGTTCCTCTTGGAAGGCTATTGCTGTGCAAGTTGTGAAGAAAGAAGAACAATGCATTTTATATTTGTTAACAGATTACTGGTGCTGACCATACCAATGAATGTGAATCACAGCAGGTACATATCAAATGTCTCTATTATACTTTCAGGAATAGCCATGTCGCCACACCCTGCAATATAATTTATGGCTTAATTTGTAACTGCAGTGGCAGTTTTTTTTTTTACAACGCAGTTGCTGAGAATAAAATGCAGCCCTGCCATTTCATTTTGCCAGGGTCCATTCATAGATTATTGGAAGGCAGCTTTTCTGCTGCTGGCTTGTATAAAAGTGACCAGAAACCTGTACCAGAAACCTCCTTGAGTGTTTTGGGTCCTACACAAATACAATTGTTACAGTGCGGGAATGTGATAAAACTGCTGTGATTACTGCTTGGCACTGCGATGCAGGACTGTTTGTGAAGCAGATGGCATGTCACCTCTCTCAAATGTCTTTTCCTTTGTATTCTGTTTTATTTTTGTATAAATTTGTTTTTTCTTTCTCTTCCTGTTGTGCCTGGACGGTTGAGAGCACTTGTTTTTCCAGTTCTCGGGAACTGCCTGGAACCAAGTTCTAGAGAGGGAGGAACTCCCTTTACAGGGGATATTATGTGCTCGGTTGCACCAGGTTATGGTATTCAAGCGTTGGGCTGGCAGAGTGACTCTTCAGTCCCTGAAATTGTCCGGAGTCTCCAGCTCTGGCCATGCAGAGTCCCAGTTCAATTAATCTCCCGGTTACCTATTTTCAAAGACCAGCAACTTTTGTAAGCTCGTGGTGAAGAGTACTTAGTTTTTAGTTTAAAACAAATCTCTTAATTGCTAGATTTAACAAATTAACAATTGATCACAATGGAACTGTTCCGTATCTATAGAAATTGTTGGTTTAATGGTGGCCTGCTTAGATTGGGTCCCTCCAGGGTTGCAGATCCCTGCTGTACCTTCTGTGCCACTACGTAAAGAGCTATGAGAAATAGCTATGACAGGCGGTACAGGTAACAATCGGGGTTCCCTCTCAGAATTACTGACTTTGTACATGTAGTATAGTAAACTTATGTTTGAGAACCCTGTATTTAAAGAAAAGTACATTTCTTATCCAGTGATTCTGATAAGATGTTAAATGGCAAAAGATCCCCCATTCCCTTTTGTGATGAACGCAACTTCCAGTACTTCTACCAATTGGACTGCCCAGGGTAGGCCTCTGTCAAGACATGTCTGATTTGAGTAAGTTTGAGTCTGTGCCAGTAGTCCTCTGTGAATAGAATTCCTGAAATGGAGGTCTACAAGTAGCCATGTAGTACAGTGGTTGGATGGTCGTGTAGCCAATCAGGGTAACTTTGGTTTGCATCAAAGCAGCAATCCCTGTACCTTTTCAGGTACCTGTGGCCTTACGGTGTTACCAGTGAGAGCTCCATCTGATGCAAACCATCCTGTGGTTCTTGTAGGGTTCACTGTGAGGAGCTGTTGGCATGAAAGTATGTGTTTTGGAGAAAATCTGAGTGTTGTCTTCATATCTCCTGTATTATATGAGAGTTTTAGCAAGCAAGCAGAGATGAATAACAATTGGCTATTAAAACAATGGTCAAATCTTGATTGCACAGTCATTTAACATGTTAATGTGGATTCATTTTGTCGTTATATTCAGTGTGAGCGCAAGGAAGAGTTCATTGAGAAGATCAAACTGCTAGACATTGAGACTCAGGCAGCCATTGTCACCCACATTCAGGAGGTGAGTGGAGCTTGTTTCAGATGCCCACAATCCATGTAAAAAAGTAAATGCAATTACACTTGTCCTCCACTTCATGTTTCACAATTTATTTTGAAGAAGAAGATCTTCTTCTTCTATGGTTGATTTTGATTTTGTCACCTTTGACGATTTTGTACACTTTACCATTTCAAAATATTTCACAGCATGGATTTTTTTTATTTCTTTAACCCTGATTACACATTTTCTCTGGGACTGGGCAGCTCTTCTTGCTGGTCTTGAGGCACCGGATGGGTGCACTTTGCACCTTGGTTCCATTTAAGTTCCTTGTGACTCTTAATTGTTTGACTGGTCGTTGTAGGTCTTAAGTCCTGCACTGATGTCCTGAGTCTGAGGTTCCTGGTGGCTCTCTGTGTTCCAGGTGACCCAGAACCAGGAGAACGTGTTTGACCTGCAGTGGCTGGAGCTTGCTGACCTGCCGCCCGAGGAGCTGGACCCGCTGTCCAGGAACATGGCCTTCCACCTGCGCAAGCTCATTGACGAGCGGGACGACTGCACAGAGGTGTGTGACCAGCGCTGCCGGCAGAGATCCGCAGAGAGCTCTGGTCTGGCTCGAGGGAAAGATCACTTTATTGGCCATATACAATGTAGGATTCCTCTGCCGGCTGCGGGATTCGAACCGGCAACCTTCCAGCCACAGGCGCGGATCCTTAGCCAAAGAGCCACTGCCCTGCCCCCAAAGAGCCACTGCCCTGCCCCCAAAGAGCCACTGCCCGAAAAGGGCCAGGATGTTCTCAATGTGAAAACCCCTTTTTTAAAAGCAAACGTTATTGTTTAGAAATTAATCACATGCTTTGCCCTTATAATGCATGTCCAGGTTCTTCACTGCACAATAAATTTCTGTTGACACCTTTCACATCTTATTTAGTTGTAACTAGTCTTGTCTCCTTGGGAGTACGGAAATACACTCATCAGGGTGTGTGCTTGTTCAGCACTAGGTAAACCCTACCATGTTGGCAACATATCGGCAACATTTTCTTGACAAAAGTGTAACACCAATGAGCTGTGGAATTCTTTAGTTAGCAAATAATAGGCTTCAGCTGACATTTAGGAAAACGTAAACAGTTTAAGCCTTCACTCAATAAATGGTCTTGCCCTGTGGTGTAACATTTCTCAGGATGATTATGACATGAACAGAAACAAGGAACTAAGCCAGTGTAGTTATGTAGTCTGATAACTCTCCAATTCTGTGGAGCATGTGCTTGAGTATAGTTACAATTATATATTGTACGTATGTTGTAAATATACAATTATATATTTATTGTGTGGTCCTATGAATATCTGTGCGTTGGTCAATATGGGAGGTTGTTATTAGTGGTTGTTTGATTATACTGCTGTATAGGTCAATAAAGCGCTGTGTGGGAAACTGTTCAGAAGGGAGTTACAGCAAATCATCATTGGGCTTTACTAATTCAGTCAAGTTAAGATAAGTTGATTGATTAATGAAATATCAGTAGTTTTCCCATGTGCTCCATGTGCTGTCAATACTGGGCTCTTGAACAACTGTTTCCAGTGCTGAAATGATTCTTGACCTGTATAGTGGGACTGTAGTTAACGGCCACGCGATAAGGATGATTAATAGAGCAAAGCAATTGCTGTACATTTACAGAACAAAATGTAAATGATGCCCGATAATGATTCCTTTATTTAGCTGTAGTGTAGAGATATCCCATTACCCTTTGTAGAAACTCTTCTGTTTCACAGCAATGGGATTTTTTTTTGGCTTTAAAAAAAAAACCTGCTTTGGCAGATTCAACGGACAGTAACAGCGTTTCTGTTGGACTGAGTTGGAGATTAATTGACATAAATGTTTACGTCCGAAGTGTCTGAATACTCCCCAGTGGAAGGAAGGGTGTTGGTGTCGCCCTAGCCTTGTGAAGGTTTACCGCAGTTGGCCTCCGTCTCTTTCCCTCTTGGTCTAACCCAGGTCATTGTGGAGCTGACACAGGAGAGGGATTACCTGCAGTCCCAGCAGCCCATCAGCCCAGTTAAAGCATCCAGCCCTGAGCTCGTCACTGGCCCCGTCCCCCTCCTGTCCAAAGAGGACCGGCAGCACCTGGCTGTGGAGCTGGCAGACAGCAAGGCCAAGCTGCGTCGTGCCAGGCAGGAGCTGTGAGTGTCACTGCCCTAGTCTGTATCCACTGCCGGGCTTATTAGAAAGGGCAGCCATGTGCGTCTTGTGACCCACTGATACATGAAACTGGTAGGAGTGCAGACTGCTGTGATTTTGTGTGTTAGGCACAGAGATACAGTGGGGAAGACGAGATGATCCCACTTTTTGTTACACGTTTAATTTTTCTGTCGGCAAAGAAATTAAGAATGAATAAAACATCTGATTTCCAATACAGTTCTAATATCAATATGTAGTGACAGTTATTAGACATAAGAGATATAGTAATAAGCGAAGGCTGCTGAATTTTACATCCAGTATTTAAATTCAGCCCCGGAGTGTCCTAACTAAGTCCTAACTTTACACCTTTTGAGGACAGTGGATGATAATGCTATGCTATATTGTTTTGTACTCAGTGAGCCTTAGATATATATTTTTAACACTGAAATGGAATAAGAATGTTGAGCTCTTCTTTTAGAGTCTGATTTTACGAAAAAATACATAGGCGTACATTTGAGGAGGTCAATTTTCTAACTTATTTTGTATTCGTGATTTGGTGCATATTATTAACCCGGTTACTGAGTGACAATTACTGATGATGACACATCAGCCATGCTGTTGCTTTTTTCTCCTTGTTGAAGGGAGGAGAAGACTGAACAACTGATTGACGCCAAAAATGAAATTGAGCGCCTGGACCTAGAGCTGCAGAAACTGAGACAGGAGGTGAGTACACAAGGGATCACACCTTCGTCACAGAGAACGTGAGCAGATTCTTAGCATGAACATAGCTAAATAATAACGCCTATCCAGGTGCTCCCAGGTAGGGTGTGCAGTTGGCAGACTCAGAACAGGTGACATATCTTCCCTTTAATAGACTAAAAGGTACATCAGTAATGGTGTCAGGGTTGGATTTTGATGGCTTGCTCATCAATTTCCTTTGGTGCTGAGGAGGTAAAGCTTTAGAGAACCACCGTGGCTGTACAGGATCAAATCACAGCTCATTGCCTGAGGGTCAGTGAAAGTAATGTTTCAGGCCTTTGAAAATATGAAACTGTCAGAGGAGCCGAATCTCAAAAAGAAATAGTGTCATGGCAAATTGAGTGCAACCAGAAAGGCTGGTAGGGGAAAAAGAGCTACACGATTTACTTGTTTGCCAGTCATAAAAGATAAGGGAAAAACGGATTGTCCAGCAAAGAAGATGAGAAAATCTGGCTTTACTAAATAGGTTTTTCATCACTTGTAGTAGTGTGGTATAGATGTCAATTACTGACAGCTCTACATTTTATATTTCAATATAAATACCACTACTCCTGTAAGAGTTACAGTATTAAAGAACAAACACATTTTGTTTTTTCTGACTCATGAAATAACTTTTCAGAGAGGTGTAAAGCACTGGATGGTGCAGACTGATGTTGAGGCTGTTTACCGAAATGGAAGGAAGCCCTGTAATGTGCTCTCTTCTCTGGTCCCTAGAGCATACAGCTGCTGACAGACGCTCGCTCAGTGCGGGCCTACAGAGACGAGCTTGACTCCCTGCGTGAGAGAGCCGGGCGTGTCGATAGGCTGGAGACCGAGCTCACGCGCTGCAAAGAGAAGCTTCATGATGTGCATTTCTACAAGACACGGATGGAGGTGAGCCAGGACAGTGGGCACACCTGGAGGATGCTGGGAAGTTTTCTGGGACCAAATGGTCGTTCAGACCAGAGACCACAAATGCTGCAGTAGTATATAAAAATTGACATGTTTAAAGTAATATGTAATGATGATGATGATAATGATAATAATAATAATAATAAACTTTATTTTATATAGCACCTTTAAAGGTGGCTTCTCAAAACACTTTACAGGATGACAATAACAATAAATAAGAAGACTACAACAATAAATAAGAAGATTTCACAAGATAGGACACAATTATAATTACAACAATACAACAATAACAATAGAGAAGACCGTGGAAGGTGGTATTAAGAAGAGCAGAGGGGTGAAGAATGGAACCAGTTAAGTAAAGGCTTTTCTGACAGGTTTTGAGTCTGGATTTGAAGGAGTTTAGAGAAGGTGACTCTCTGATGTCCTTGGGCAAAGAGTTCCAGAGCTGGGGGCATAGCAGGAGAAGGCACATACAATGTAGACGGGCTTGGGGGACAGTAAGGAGGGCAGAATTTGAAGAGCGGTGGTTGCGAGGTGGGGAGTAGGAAGATAAAAGTTCAGACAGGTATTGAGGTGCCAAGCCATGTAAAGCCTTATAGGTGAGCATGAGGATTTTAAAGTCTGCGCGGAATTTGACCGGAAGCCAGTGCAAGGACTCCAGAATAGGAGTAATGTGAACAGTTGCACTAGACTTGGTCAGGATTCTGGCTGCTGAATTTTGGACATGCTGCAGCTTGTTCAGAGTAGATTTAGATACCCCAGGGAGTAGAGCATTGCAGTAGTAAATTAGAGAGAATACAAATATGTTGATCAGCTTTTCAGCCACAGTTAATGATAGCATAGGGTGTAGTCTTGCGATATTTCTAAGGTGAAAAAAAGATGTTTTGACAG